GATAATAAATATAATAAATAAAATAATGATAAACGTTAAAATAATGAAAATGAATATCACAATGATAGCTGTGATAGTAGTGAAATCAGTGAAAACAGTGATTACAATTTTCCTGGTGATCATTAGTAACGTTAGTTAGCGCAGTTATTTAGTTGAGTAAACGGATTATCACTAACAATGTACAATATTTTCATTAATGTATTTTACCCAGTTGTTTTTTACTAATTTGTATCACAAATACAATTGAACAATAAAATTTCCTCAAGTTCAATAGGTCTATTACAATATCTTTGTAGTGGAGAGAGATCTATTTTCATAGTTCCTTGGTCTTTGTTATTTAGGTCATTTTCATTACTATTACGAAGCTGTCAGTTTGCCTCTTTATTAAGATTTAAACACACAAAATTTTGGCTACTATGATATAGTGATAATTGAAGAAGAAGGTGGCAGCTTTCTTGTGCTGAAAAATCACATTCTCCCACTATATAAATAAGCAACTTTTAGAATATTTTAATATCTGAATCATTCGGTTTATCATTACAAAAAGCTTTATCCAACACTTCTGAAAAAGCTAAAGACTGTAGTTTAGCTTTACTAGCATATTTTGAAACATATTGTAAAGCAGCAAATGTTGTGAGAATGGGTTTCAAAATCAACATTTGCCCTTTATCCCTGTAGTTGGATGCGATCATGAGGATTTATAAGTGGATCATTTTTAGCAGTTATTAGTTCCAGGTGACTATTATTATCATGAATTGTTGTTTGATCCACTAGCTCTTTAGAAAACCCAAATTTGCAGGCCTGTTGACCAGTTTGTCTATTGCTTCGTAAACAGTAAAAATTATAATATGTATGCTGTTATAATTTATTTATCAATTTAATATAGTCTTCCATATCATCATTAAGGTCCTCAGAGTGCATTTGGCATGGGTAGTTGTCAGAAAAAGATGCATTTGTGCTGGGATTAATTGTTCTAATTAAGAAGTCTAGGTAATGTATTACTTCTTCTATTATCTCATTATTATTTTTTATCTTTTTCCAATCAATTTCTGATGCATCTTTTTGCTTGGCAATTCCATGAACATGAATACTACCACGATATTACCACTCAAATCGATATCACTAATCAACCAATTTCTATTTAGGAATTAAGACTTTTTCAAAAAAACTTTAAATAACTTTTCAAAGAATCATGTGGCAATATAGTAATTATTTATAAGATCTTTACGTTGACGTCTTGCAGCTTTCTGAGCAGATTCTGTATCTGCAGAATTTTCTATATTAGGCATAAGATTATGTAAGTCTGGCTAATGCATGTTGGCTACGCTAAATATAAAGAAAACTATTCTTTAAAATCCTATTTATTTTAACAAATCTAATTATTCAGCTTTATGATGCATCCAATATTGATGAGTATCACATAATCCTTCACTATATCACAATACTTTATCTGCTATATGATTGTTATTTTGCATTAAATTCAAGATTTCAGCTACAGTGAGTTGTCCTTTCTCTAAATTTTATTGAACAAATATGCAGCCTTCTGCTAATGCTTTTCATCTCATAATGAATTTAAGGCAAAGTAACGCCACCGTCGATAATAAGAAAATCAGTCATCTTTATAAACTAGAAGATGTTTAAAATATTCTGCTGGTTTATTTCTCTTATCCGGAATTCATTAAGGTCTATGATTTCTCAAGGGTAAAGTGTAGAAAATTCTTGTGTCATATATCTAGATGTATTAAACTCATTAACTGGCGAAACTTTATTAAGTAGCTAATCAAGTCTCAGATTATTATAATTTTGTTGCACTTTATTTAGAATTTCATTAATTGCTCTGTTTTCACTAAGTCTGGTAGGTAATAAAAGAATAAATATTTGTGAATTGAAGGGTTTTCATGATTTTCATCCTCATCTTCATTATTTAGTCCTTCTTCAAAACTATGAGTTTCATTCTCCATAAATTGTGAAAGTTTCTCCAAAATCGAACTATTTTCTGGTAAAATTTATAAGATTTTATTATCAATATTGATGTCACAAAAGAGTTTATTATTTTTCTTCAACCAATTAAGAACTCATACTATTCTTTCTTGACGAATATGAAAATCCTAAAAATTAGATCCATCTTCAAAATAACGTCAAATAATAAGTAAATCCAATGATGATGGATTACGTGAAAGTTATATCACAAACTCCTGCATATCTTGTGGAAAATTAATAATGTTTCCACGATATGCATGCTGTCCTCCAGGAAGGGTATATATCAAGATAACCAGAAATACTTGTGCTATTAACATTTCTTCTACATCAGTTAAGTCCTTAAGTTCTTGCAGAACTTCGCCTAAAAATTAACAGAATTTTAATTACATACTTAAAAATACTTAAAATATATGCTAATCAATATCCACCTGGATCCATATTATTTTTAACTGAAAATCTTTTAGGATTAATTTTCTCAGTATTGTATTGATGGCACTGCTCTCCAATAAGCACAATGGATGGAAATTGTTCATTACACGTTTTACATAGATTATTTTTGAGATTGTTAATTATGTTACGAAATTGCCGTAAAAGCTTCTGATCAGGAGTTGAAATGCTTCCTAAGTTATTTTTTCAACGTATAGTACTTGTTTCCTTTGCAAAAGTCTTGCAGCAAGTTGATTTGGAGTTTCTTTAGCTCTTCTAAGTAAATATTTCTTACGCACGTAAGCATGTCAAGCTTTCTCTTCAACTATCAAGCATTTTTTAAGTTCTTCATTAGTTACTTCACTTACTTTGCATCGCTTTCTTTCTCGATCCCGTACCAATCATTTCTCATGTTCTTTATTGGTCTCTTCACTTGCTCTGCATTTCTTTTTTTCTCAATTACGTACTAATCGTTCCTTACGTTCTTCATTGGTCTCTTCACTTGCTTTGTGTCTCTTTCTTTCTTGGTCACGTGCCAATCATTCTTCATGTTTCTCATCAGTCACATTAGTAATTTTCTGTCTTCTCCTTTTCCGATCATATGCCAAACAAGCTTCTTCCATATCAGCTAGCATATTCTCTTTATTCTCTTTATGATTCTTAAGATAATTTGGAAAAACAATTATACATAGATACATTTTAACATAATTATATTTTCATTAATCTTACCATTTTATAATCTGGCGTAATTTGAAGTTTTATTGGAAATACAAGATTAAGTCAGATGAAACAATGTCTGAAATGTATACGAAAATGCTCAAAATTTTGCTCATAAATAAAGAGAGAATTTCGATTAAGTCGCTAATCACGTGATTTACATATTATCGTTTTGGTTAAGGAGACGTATTATAGCTTTTTTCGGAAAAAACAATATGAATTTTCGATTTTTTTACATGCAAAATCATTGTTGAGCATACTTTTTCATAATTTCGAATAAAACAATGTGCAAATGTATCATTTTTGGTTAGAGATGTTATGACTGTATTATAAAATTATGACTGTATTATAAAATTTATTTATGTTTAAAAATTTAACAATTTCAAAATTTTTATATTAATATACATAAATTTATACATTTATTTTAATAATAACGCGACGGACTTCAACGGTTTCCGTTTTCCTAGTTATATTATTGAAAGTGATGAAGAACAACAAATATATGAATCTGATTTTGCTTATTTATGCGAAGTATTAGATAAAGTAATTAAATTTTATATACAGATGCATTTTTAGTCTTTATTAATGTCAAAACGAATTTTTAGGCCAAAGAATTGTTAAAAGAATCATATAACAAACAAAACGACATCTATGGTTAAAAATTTTCGCAAAAATTTCAGATTGTTGGAAAAGATGAATAATGATATTATAGCACTAGAAAATCGTCGAACAATGCCAAAAACATTGAAAAACTTTTACAAAAATACAATGTATTGGGAATAAATAAAATAAATAATGACAATAAATAAAATTTTGCGATTCTCTTAAAAACTTATTTATTTATTCGGAAGTATTTTACTAATAATAAAAAACGTGACAAATTAACCGGAAATCAGTTTCCGAAATCCCGTGTTACCCAGAAAAACTATCCGGCTACCATTTTTTCTAGGCGGTTAGGTGAGCATAGCAATATCATGTGATATATTTTAAAATCAGTTGAGACTTATATTAAATTAAAATTAAAAATTATGTCGGTGCTGATATAGTATAGCGGTATAAAGCACTTGACAATTTAACTCTCGAATACTTGGGTTCGAGTAAAGCTAATACCAAAAAAAAAAAAATAAAAATTTTTTTTTTCTTTAAAATTAAATTTTAAAGTATTACATGGAATAGTTTTCAGGAACGATATAGGTGTGTTTTTTTCAAGAATGTCCAGACTTTACTAACGCCATTTTTATTTATTTTTTTTTTTATAGTATCGCGCATCATTTGACATACTTTTTATTACATGACGTAAAGCGTAAGAATCATATATACCTTTTTTTGCTGAAACTTTTCCAGTACCATTCTCTTATTTTTTTTATAATTTTTTTATAGTCGGTTGGTCCCGAATATAAATAAAAGTAAGCTTTATTAAGTATGGATGACATAAAAAGGTTGAAAACGAGATGTTGTTTGCATTCCAGTTATCAAAAATGTTCTAAAGAGAACTTTTACAAATAGGGTGAGTTTTATTGGGTTTTGTACTTGCTTTTGGTGAAGCTTCGACGAAGGTTATTCCCATGTTCTTACGAGGATATGTTTACATTCTGAAAATTCCAGATTACAACCTTGACCTGCAATAAACTGTGGCGATAGCGGGTAACGTGTGTTAGTGTATGACACTGGAGAAAAGCTAACACAACCAAGGAAGACATACTGGTATTATCATGTAAGTATACTTACTAGTTATCGTCGTCTTGTCATTTTAGCAGCAGGGTGGTCCGAATATTGTTAAGAGAAAGGATACCATCCAGGCCGTCAAAGCACGATAGGACTACATCGTGTCCCACAAAGGAAATTACTTTCATTTAAAATCACGAGGGGTCTCGTTGGTGATGTGGTGGTATAGCTGTGTTTGAAGGGTGACCCTCCTATACCCAGTTTCTTTTATATAAGACATTCTAATCGTGTTCGTCCCCTTTCCCAGATAATGTAGGAGTCGATGAAATTAATGTGGTATGTATGATGATTACCGGACTGGGAGCATATCCAACAATACTCAGATGAATCCTTAAAAGATAGAATTGAGCTTGCACTTTAGGCGCAGTCATTCGGTAAAGTTGCATATGGGCTTTTTGGTCATAGGAAGTGCGGTCATTGGTGAAATTACAGTACATATGGACTTCTTGGCTTAAAGAAGTTACCTACTAGAACGTAAGTTAATCAAAGAAAATTTCTTTCTTTTAATAAAAACTAAATTCAATTGAATTTACTATTCTAATAAAGCTACCGTAGAAGAATTTGTTGACGGATCGAGGTCGAGTTGTATGTGGTATTAATTTTGGGGAGGTTTCTTTAGATGAGAAGTCTGGACGGACAATTTAGGAGGTAGACAATAGATGTAAAGCAACAAAAATTTGAATTTCTTTATGTTCCTAGAATTTATTATTTGATTTTGACATCTTATTAATATATATATATATATATATATATAATTTTATTTTTTATAAAAAAACTTTTGTTTTGTACGCTGTAAATTAATAAAATTAGTACAGTTAAAATAACATGAACGCAGTATAACGACAAATTAATTTCGCTATAATTTTTTACAAAATCAACTTTACGTTCCCAGGATGTTTATGAGCTTTGGCAAGTAATTAAATCAATTGGATGGAATTGATTTGGTTATCACGAATTCTTTCCCCTCCCATTGCATTATACTGTAATTCTTTTTATTGTAAGGAAAAGTTTTTGACGGCACTATATCAGGATTAATTAAAATTAATTATTTACTGCCGCGATATTTTTTAAAAAAAAAAATTCACGCGTGCCGAAATTCATGCGGTGTATCGTATCAAAAAGTTTTTCCGATGACACGTAATGATTTGTTCTAAAATGTTCCGAAATTTTACAAATAATAGATGACGGTAATTTTCATGATTCTAATTATTAAAATTCACACGCGATCAACACATATCAATAGTCTACCTGAGAACATTCTCTCTTTACTTTTTCGCTTAAAATAAATTAACCAAAAAATTGCTTTCGAAGGAACATGAAGTGAGTTTTAAAATCTTTAATGTTTATTTTTTCTTTTAAAAATAACTTTTACATAATTAATTTATTAAAAAAACCTTGACTACAGAAACGAAAGACTTTTCCGATAACGCTACGCTTCTTACGAACGAAATGGAAGAATTTCTTCGATAACACTTAACGCTACGACAACGAAACGAAGGACTTTCCGCGTCAAGGTTCAAAATTTAAGGTAGATGCGAGAAAAGTCCATTACTGATACAGGTAGAACTGTTAATGGGAGAAGTGTTATATAATCATTTTTATATATCAAAGCAAGTGAATCTTTTAAATAGCGTTGGATTTGATAAAAATAACACGATGCAGAGAAATTTATTACAAATCGTCCCTTTATTATTGACATATAATAACCTTTTAACCCCTTGATGTACTTTGGAGGTGCTCACTGTGTAATATCCTTAAAAAAATCCAGAGCATTTTGAAGTGGTCCATTGGTTCTGGCTGATCTTCCTTAGGGTGTAGTTAACCGCTCACACTCAACAATTCTTTTTACACAGGAACGGACGATTCCGAATATTTTCAGATCACGCTTACGCTAACGCTACTTACAAACGAAACGACGATAAAGTTACGTCACTTAGAATTAATTAGATATCTTTTTCAATAACGCGTCGCCGAAAAAAACCAAAGTTTTTTTTTAAAATTTATTTTTATTGTAAAAAATTTTTGATCAATTGGTAACTAGTTTACGTTTAATAAAAAAAATTAATTTTATATATAAATTTTTTTAACTCATTAATTTATTAAAGTTAAATGAAAATTTTTAAAATTAATGCAATAAAGTTTAACTTAAGATTTCAATAAATTAAAAACTTTACCTCCGTTTCAAATGTGCTTTTCGCATTTACTAATGGCGCAGTAATGCGGAATATAATTAGTAATTGTTCCTTTAAGAATTTAAATAAAATACATTACAAGTTTCGATACATATTATATAAACTAAGTTCAATAAATTTTTCTAAATGGACATGTCAATATTTGTTATAAATTACACTTTATATTATACTTTATGGATGTGTAACTATTGATTTATATTTCAGTAATTTTGATAATGTTAATACAATCGTGAATCAAAGTAGTAAAATTTGTCATTTCAAGATTTAAGCAAACAACCTTTGTAATTAATTTATTTTGATAGGCTACGCTTTACACTATTCAACCTTTTATCGGACAATACATTCTAGTTTTTTTAATAATTTATTTATTTCTTAATACCCGCCATTTTTTTTTTTTTTTGATTTTCTGTGTATTTTGATATTTAATTTCAGATGGTTTATGCATTTATTTTTTTTAATATAATACACAAAAAAATGTGACGCAAATTATAATTTTCATGCTAAAGGAATTTTTTTGTAATACATTTTAATACAAATATAAAGAAATGAAATAAAAGACGAATATTTTCAAAAAAAAAAAAAAATAACTCGAAAAAAAATTTTTTTTATTCATAAATATTTTTTTCTTTCATTCATATTTCTATTTAATTTGCAAAAAAAATCTACTTAGAAGAAAAATCAAATGATAAAAACAACTTTAATTAACAAAAATAATTTTTTTTTTATTTACAACAAAATTATAAAAAACATTTTTAATGTTTATTTCACAATTTTTACAAATGACGACCACTTTGATCCATCATTTTTTTTTTTTATCTACCATCTAGTTGAGCTCTTCAAATTTTTTTTCTTAAAATAAAGATCTATATCAAAATAATAAACCAATGACCGTGCCTACTACCTCAAGACCAAGAAGTCCTATATGTAAAGCTTCAGCGAATGACCGCGCCAAAAGTGTAAGTTAATCCCTACTTTAAGAATTCATCCCCTAGATGTAGAATAGTGGTTCGTTTAATGATGTTATGAATAACTACTTCTCTCTTTCTTGTCAGACCTTTCGACCTATAATGGAAAAGAAAATGTTAGGGAGAGTATCAGAAAGAGGAAAAATGAAGAGAACTTAACAATAAAAATATAAAATACCATCAATGGCAACGATAGGCGAAAGATAAATAAATAAAATATGATCATTGCTTCCTCGGCGAAGGGCGCGTGAAAGAGACCAACTCCTCGAAGAAAAATTCATTTTAGTAGCCACTTCTATTTTAGAGGAGGATAAGCAAATCCTACAATGAATACCACAGAAAAATGCTTCTCGCTTTTAAAGCTCAAACCTTGTACGTCATCATTTAGACAAGAGCTGTATTAAGGAAGGTGGCATCGTTAAAGGAAAATATCGAAAAGATACTTCCCATAAAGAATTATAATAATACAGGTCGCCATCAAGTACCTAAAATAAGAGAAAGATTTTTTTATTGATTAGAGAAGCTCCGAAACTCTAAGTAATTCAGTGACGCATATGTTCTAAACAAGTTCATGAGACTATACTCTAAGGTAACCTGATTACACATGGGTATCAATCAAAGGATGTCTAGAAAACCCTTGAATAATTAACGTATTAGGTGTAAGTATGGGTATGAAACTTACCTCTATGATTTAAGTTTGAGCTAACGCGTAAATAATATTTTGTAAATATCGTTGTTATCGTCGTGATTAGAAAAGCGTTTAAGGTATTTACGATGAAAAAAATATTTGCAAAACATATTATTTTTTGTTCAAAGTGTAAACAATAGTTATGCTGGTGTTATGTTAAAAAAAAAAGAGTTGAGAGATTTTTCATTTACGTTGTTAGACCTGGAATCGTCTCAAACCAAGCTAACAAAACTAATCAACTTAACAACACAATTATCTCAAAGGCCTTTCCTAAGAGAAATTAACGATAAACAAATAAAACAATTTATTATCAC